TCAAATAGTACTTTCTCTGAAACGTGTAGCAAAGCAATTCCCAAAGTATTTCACATGGAAATAGGGTTTCATGGTCTCATAAGTTGGAACACTGGATTAGATAAAATTGAACAGTCTCTTTACTGCAGAATTTCTCTGAGCCTTTAACATGCCAAAATAGATTGTAAACCACAAAATTAAGGCATATTGGATTAAAACCCAAAGTAGAAAATAAATATCCATGAGTCCATACTGGTATAAATAAGGAATTGAATAAATAAATAAATGGGGTGAGGGAACAACTCTTCCATGCAGAAAAATTCCAAATAATTTCTGTTGATACTCCCTCCTCAAAAAAATAGAACATAACTACCCCTTCTTACATGTGGACCATACATAGTGACTTCCTTCCAAAAAGGACAGGATACAAAGGGGTAGAAAAAGAGTAACTTCACAGTAGAGAAACCTCACAAACACTACCTCAACCAGGCGATCAAGGTCAACATCACAGTGATAAATCATGCTGATAGTGTGTGCCCTGATAGGATGTGATGAATATAAATGGCACTTTCTATCTGTGGTCCTCCCAGAAGACCTACAACCCCAATCTAATCATAAGAAAAACATCAGACCAGTTCCAACAGAGGGATATTCTACAAAATACCTGACCAGTACTTCTTAAAACAGTCAAGGTCATCAGAAACAAGGAAAGTCTGAGAAACTGTCCTAGCCGACAGGAGCCTAGGGAGACATGAAAACCAAATGTAATGTGTTATCTTGGATGGGGTCCTGAAACAAAATAAAGACATCAGGTTAAAGCTAAGGAAACCTGAGTAAAGCACGAACTTCAGTTAATAATAATGTATTATTACTGGTTCACTAATCGTAACAAATGTAAGAAGTAACAGGGAAACCGGTATGGGAATCTATGGAAACTCTCTGTACTGCCTTCTCAATTTTTCTGTCCATGTAAAACTTGTAAAAAATAAAGTCTATTAAAAATTATAAAATACGTTGTGATTCACCAAGAGGAAGGTCAGTGCATGCCTCAATTCCCACACTTATTTGTCCGTGGAACCCTTTTCGTGCAGCCTCTCCGGGGCCAGTATTCAGCAGAAAAGACTCTGGGAAATGCTGATACAGAGAATAAGCAGGCTCTTTCCTTTATCAGCTCAGAAAATTGAACACCAACCCAGCTTGCCAAAAACTGGAGAACTGATTTACATCCCAACTCTGAAGACAAAAGCAAGAGCTAAGTGAAGTTAAATAACTCCAAATTTTAATAGGGAAAAAAAAGGAATCAAAATTTTCCAGGGTACAGTTCTAAAATATTTTCTGCCCACACATTTTAGCGAATAAAAGGGGTAGGAAACACTAGCTGAAACTTTTAAAGTTCTTTTGGACTATGAAGAGCAAAGAACAGCCTGGTAAGAAACCACCCATCCCCAGCTACTTCCCAGCATGCCTCCAACACTTCCTAGCCATCTCCCCTGCAGCACACAGCACTTTCTACTTTCTATTTATTACAACTACTTATATCCAAGTCTTCTTTCAATTATTAAACCATGAAGTTATCTTAAGGCAGAATCTGTATCTAAGTTATTTCTGAATCTCCCAAAGCACATAGCAGAGTAGGTATTCAGTAAATATCTTTTAAATGAATATTATAATCATTGGTGTGATAGCAAATGGGTCTTTCTATTCATTAACATAAACTTACTAAGCTCCTGCTACAGAAAGGTCAGTATACCAGATTTAATGGGTATACAAAAATATTTTTAAATTGTTACTGTTTTCAAAAGACTTATAACAAAAGTCAGAAAGACGTGTACAGAAATTACTATGATAGAATGGAATTTGTGATAAGGGCCATAAAATGACAGTGCGCTAAACGAGTCCAAAAGAGGCAGAGATCCTTTTCAACAGGGATAATAAAACAACATCAGAGAAGAGATGTCATCTGAGCTGACCCTCAAAAAACAGATGGGATTTTCATAATGAATAATGCAAAGCAGGAAGAAAGGGCTTCCCATGACAAGAAAAAATAAGAAAAGTGTTCAAGATGCAAGAGGGAAAGACAAAATGATTCACTTGGAAGGGCACACAGCACAGTTATAAGCAGCAGAAACCGATAAAGTGAAAGGGGACGCTGGGGCTTTGGAGCAGGAACTTAATTTGTTAGGCAATTGGGAGTCACTAAAAGTTTGTTAGAAGGCAGTAAGATATATCATAGAGCTAATCATCTGCTTGTAGTTAAAGTTAATTGTATTGAAATTACATAAGGTGACAGGGAGACACATCAAAATTTAGGAGATGTAAGAGTAAGAAAGGATATGAATTAACGCCTGAAAAAAGTAAGCACTCAATAATACATAGTTGTCATTATCATCATCATCATCATTGTGATCACTATGGTAGTGGCCTTGATCATGAAAAAGAAGAGAAGGCCATACATAACACTATGGGAAGACATAATTTATAAAACTTAGTGACTATCTGGATATGGAAAATTGAGATCAAAGATATTTCAAGTCTAAATTACTATAATGATGGAAACCAATTAACAGAAATAGGAAAGTCAGAAAGAGATGCTCCTTTTAGGAATAATATCTTGTCAGTTTTAGACACGTTGAGTTTGATCTCACAGAAGGAATACACAGTAGATAGTTGATCATAGAGGATTGGAGCCAAAAAGATGTGGCACCAAAGAGAGAAGCTATGAAAGCTTGAATGAGATGATCTAAATATAAAGTGGGAAATGTTAAAAATGGGTGAGAGAGAGGCAGAATTTCGGGCTGCACACGCATGGAAAAACTTAGGAAAAGCCTAACTGAGAAGCAGGTAGTGAATGATGAATAATAAAAGGACTGATGGGCAGCGAAATGAATCCACTGAAAGAGGAATAGATGGACTTAGCCAAAATTAATGTTAAACATAAAACGTAGGTGATTTTCCTCCTAAGTATTCAACAGTTTGGGAGAAGAGAAAAAGTAGACGGTAGAGGTATCCTTAGGCTGAAAACTGGAATGGCAGACAGAGTAGAAATCTAATGGGGCAGAGACTATGAGGTGCAGGAGGGAACGTGATGGCAGTGATGCAATCCAAATTAGGTAGCTTCATGCAAAGAAGAGAGACCTGCTGAACAGGCCAGGAAGCTGAAGAACTAGGTCACTCGAGGAGGACAAATATAGAAAGATAGGCAGATACCAGCTATAGATGAGGAATTTAGCATGACCATGGTTAAAGAATCAGTTATTTCAACAAATATTTACTGACAGTGTTCTGTGGGCTAGGCACTGTGCTAGAGGCTGAGGATAAAAAAACAGTCTCTACTCTTACAGAATAAATCATTTAGTACAGGGATTGGCAAACTTTCTGTAATAGGGCAAACAGTAAACATTTTAGACTTTGCATGTCATAACATCTCTATTGCAGCTACTTAACTACTGCAAAAGCACCCATAGCCAATACGTAAATAAATGAGACCATTTTCTAATAAAACATATTTTATTAATTTCCATAATTTTCATGGGTCACAAGATATTATTTTTCTTTTGATGTTTCAACCATTGAAAACACTCAAAACATATTCCTAGCTGGCTAGCTAGGAATAAAAACAGGTGGCAGGGAAGATTTGGCACATGGGCTGTCGTGTGCCGACCCCTGACTTAATGGAAAGTCTGGAAAGAAAAGAGAGAAGTACCATACACATACACAATACGTACACCTACCATTCATATATGTTCTCCGCAACCAGCAGTAGGCTGTAAGAATGGATCTATTATACTATTTACCTATCTCTTCTTTTCAGTCATAATAGAAAACCAACTGTTGTTTTGTTTCTTACACCTAATATACTAAAACTGATGTGTTCTCCAAACCTTTTGGAAATGTTCAAATTTCACCAAAAGATATTTAGACCCAACCTTTTTATTTGGGAGGGGGGTTATATCTTTACAAGAAAATATCAAACAATCCTTTCACATGTGTATCATTTAATGATTATGCTTTATGACATATCAATAACAAACATTATCTGATTTGTAAGCCCTAAAGGTACCACGTAGAGATAGAAATATATGACATAGTTCCTCAAGTATCTCCATGTTTTTTGTTTGTATTGCTTCCTTCACAATCTAATTTTGAGGGTTTTTAAATAAAGCTTGAAAAATAAAAATCTGCCTAACATCCACTTCTGTGAAACATGGTAACACAAAGCCACAGACATTGCTTGGAGCAGCAGAACCACTGTGGTAATTGTTGAAGCTAGATGATGGGTTCATGGGAGTTCTTTGGGGTATACTTGAAATTTTTCATAATAATCTCTGAGACTGTGATGGAGAAAGAAGAACGACCCTGTGGTTTCCATTAAATGCCCTCGGTAGTGGCAGTCACAGAGTCCTGCCCAGCACTGTGAGGCAGGAACAGTGCCACCTGGCAGGCAGGTGGACCAGGTCGCCCGCGACAAAGGACAGTTCAGAGTCAGGGGCATGTGACAGAACTGATTTTCTATTTTAGCAGCTTTTTACATTGTTTCTGTTTAAGTTATTTTATTTTTTTTTAAGTGATTTTAGTTGTTTTTGGCCCATTTTAGATAGCAAATTCATTTGACTTCTGCAACAGAAGACAATTAATAGTGCGTGAAGACAAATATATTTCAAATAAAATTTTAATGTAAGAATGAGTCAGTTCATTCCCATTTAATTTCTTCATTCTCACAGAGAATGAAGAATGAATGTTGTATAATACTTTTATCATATTTTAAATTTCAGGCCAGTATGGTACATAATTTTTTTCTTCTACTCTACATTGTCAGGATTACTTTAGTGAAATAGGTGTGAACCTTGGTTACTGAAAGTAAAAAGGAAGAGTATGCAAATACTATTCACATCCCTTTAGTGGTTCTTATCCAGCTTTTCATATAATGAATAATATATAGTCCTGATATCAATAAGGATCTTTCACTCTGCATTATATAACTTGGCATGGAAAAATAAAATAAAAAATGAACAATAGCCAACCTGTGCTTTTCTCATGTACACCAAAGGCTCTTTGAGATGCTCAGGAGGTGCAGCAGGATGACTAGGTAAAGGAAACCTAGGGGAAAAAAGAGGCAGCTAATTATTGTACATTATTCTTGGTAATTCACTAATTCTTTTCGTTAGAAATTACTTACCTCTGTAGTCCACGTTATAAATGAAACAGAACATTTGTTAGCAGTTCTATGTGTTTACACAAGGTGCAAGAGACTAATAAAATTTTAATTCTTATACTACTAGTATTATAGTTTTCGATTAGCAGTTGAATTACTTGTCAAATTGCATAATAATCTGAATTCATAAATTGAGGTAATTTTAAAATTATTTAGCTCTGTAAATGCTCATAGGAAAATTGTCATAACTGTTCATTTTAATGTATAAATATTACATTTAGAGGAATTTTTTAAGGTCGAGAAAAATCTGTTGACTTACTAACATATCAACTCTTTTCACTTTATTCAATTTCCTTTTCTATATGGTTATATATTTTTTACACAGTTAAAATGGTAATATAAATACTATCTATTGTAATAGCCATGTTTTAATACATACTACATAAATTTACAAATTTAGTAAAATTAATAAATTTTAATGTCTTATAAATTATTTCTGTTTTCTAAGTAATTTTGTATTTTATATTCAAAATGTATTGTTTTTATTAAGAAAGCATTTATTTATGCAACAAATTTTTGAGCCATTCTAGGTACCGAGTATACGGTGGTGATTAAGACAATATCCCCTGTTCTCACATACCTAACATTCTAGTAAAGAAAGACGGTCAATAATTATAAAAATAAACACATAGAATAAGATGAGATAGTAATAAATGCCATGGAAACCTGAGAGCAGGGTAATGAGGTAGAAGTGATTGGGGAGAGCAGGGAAGACACCTGGGGAGCTAATATTTGAAGTCCTACATGAGTGAGGAGAAACCTACCACCCAAGGACCTTGGGAAGAATAGTCCTGGCAGAGGGACAGCAAGCACAAGACCCTGAGGTGGAAACTCGTGCAATGTTTAAAAATCAGAGAAGCCAGAAGGATTGAAATATAATGGTTGAGGCACAGGGTGACATGAAACCACAGACAGAGAAGGCAATAGGAGAACATGAAAGTTCAACATTTACTTAGAGGTTCCTTATATGTTGCTCTTTCACAACATATTACTCCTATTGAAGTTAATCACAGGACTTGCTCCTACAGCAAAGCAACCATGTTCCAATAATCAAGAACCATATGCTGATTTTTCTAGAAATTCCTCATCCAAAGTGGGACATCGGCATGTGAAGGGTTAATGATATACCAAGCCACTTGTACCAATCCCAGAACCTAAGCGTAAAAGGCTCAAATGTCCATAAAAAACATTTTTAGAATAGAAAAAGGGAACCTATTCTACCTAATTTATAAAGTAGTTTCACTTACTGATTATTTCTAGCTATTGTTTTTTCCTCTGAAATCTACATTCCATGTACCTAAATAAATCACCTTTGTCAAAGGAAAATAATTGATGATATAGAGATACCTCAATATTTCTCCTTATATGCAAGATAGTTTTAAAACTATCATACTGCTTAATATATAATTTGTAAAGGGACATGTGGTTTAAAATTAAATATCACTCTAAAATCCTTCCATTTAATATTAATTCTTTCTAAATTTAATAAAACTTGGAAATTTAGGATTAAAACTTGAGAGGACTTACTGATGATTGTAAGAGTTATTTAATTCTCAAAGAAATTTATCCAAAAAAACCCCAAAAAACCAGGTAGCAAGAAGTGGCAATCCCAAAATCACTAATATTAAAACAAAATCAAGTTAGATATTTATTCATTCAGAAATATTTAATGGGAACCTAAGTGTTTAAGGTAACAGAGATACAGCAGTGAACAAAACAGGCTAAAATGTCTGTCCTTGAGGCACTCGCGTTTAGTCATCTGAAGAGATGAGGGTTGTCAGGTAGGAAGAATGCACGGAAACTGTGCATCATTCTCGACTCCTGCCTGGTGCTAGCCCCCTAAATACTTCTCATCTGTTTCCACCCCACTGACACTGTTTTAGGCCACTCACATCGCTGCCTGCGTTCATCCGACAGACTCTAAAGCAGTGTCCCCTGCTGCCACACTATTTTCAAACTATTTTCCAATTTGCCTGCCTGTTATCCAGGAGCAATGTCTTCCTCATTCACCAGCGACTAGCATAACGCCTGGCACATAGCAGATAACCAGTACACTGCCGAATGAATAAAATGCAAATATGATTATGTCACTACTGTGCTTAAAATTCTAAACTGACACCCAAATGCTTTCAGGACCCAGGCTATAAAGCTTTGAGGATGGAGCACAACCCTGCCTACCTACCTAGCATCATCCTTTCCCCTGTACCGCCCAGCCAGAGAGACCCCTCTGGGTCCTCCAAGGGGCCACATTTCCACCTCTGAGTCTCAGAGCCTCTTGCTCCCTTCTGAAATCTGAGGCCATTGTTCCCTTCTGCCTAAAGCAGTTCTCTTCTCCACTCCTTCCCCTGGCTAACTCTAGCTTAGCTTTTAGATCTTAGCCTGAATATTGTTTCCTTTCCTGAGCCATTGTGACATCCGCAATCCGAGTCAAGTGCCTGCCCTCTGTGCTCCTTGTACTTCCTCTACCATAGCGCTTATCGTATTGGACTGTAATTGCCTCTTCAGTGTCTGTGCCCCACCAGGGTGTAAGCTCCGTAAAAGCAGAGGCTCGAGATTGTTTATGATCCTCAGAACATAACGCATAGCAAGTGCACAGTAACATTTCAAATCAGGCAAAGAAGAGCTACATGATCAGAATATTTTGATCCAGGTGGTCTGCCTGAGCACTCTTCCCGCAAACGCCATGATCTTGAGGTCTAGTGTAAGGTACCCATTTTCTAAAATCTTTCCATTTTTGGCCCACTACTGGCCTCCTACCTCTCCAAAGTATGGTAGGCATTTGCATATATCTACTATAACAGTAGACTATGGTATATGTTTTTATAACATATACATATAAAGATTTTTAAAATCTTTTTTATTTACTTCTTTATGTTCCTGAAGGGAAAATGATAAGTCATCTAATTCTTTACAAACTGCTTTATACAAAGTATGATGAAGACTACGACACAGAAAGAAATTGGTGCATTTTCAATGTAAAGACTGTCTTAGCGAAATCTTTATAGTAAGTTTAAGACTGATAATTACACTGAGTTCCTCAAGTCAACACATATTTATCATGTGTTAGCATTGGCTGATGGCTCAATAACTATTGTCTGACTCAGTATCATTTATTTGATGCTATAGGAGATACTGTAAAACAATTCTTGTTTAATAACACTTTTAATCCAGGCAAGAGATAAGATATAAACCTATGTGAGATGTAGTAAAACTCACGTGCTTTGGAATCAGACCTCTGGAGGTCAAGTCCCTACACCGCCACTTATTAGCTATATGATCTACATTTCAGTAAGTTACTTAAGTGGTCTAAGTCTGTTTTCTTTTCTGTAAAATGGTGATGATAGATTCTATATCTGTGAAGATTACATGACGCAATGCAGATAAATTGTTCAGCACAGTGCTTGTCATAAAATATGCATTCAATCAATGTAAATTATTAATATAATATTAAATAATTATTAACAAATAATGAACAATAATTAAACAGCATAGGCAATCTTAAGCTGGAAGAGCTAACCTGGGCTACAGTTACAAGTTTCATGTAAATAATAGAATATGGAAAGTTTTCAGTTATATTTGTTAAATAAGCATCTGACAAAAATCTTTGGAATGCTTACAAAATATAATAAGTAAAATGACGTGAGCAATTTTTAGGTATCATCTGTATAGCTCATGTGTCCACACCTCTATTAGGCATGACAGTAATTTTTTTTGCTCCAATTATTTAACCTAATGAATACTTCCACTTTATTTTTTGCTTTCTTTACGTGTCCATTTAATGGTTTCTGCCAATGACTAATACAACAAAATATGCTGAGTGCACTTTATCCCTGTGATTTATGTTGGGGTAACACTTCCTCCCCACGCTGGATGGGCCCTTCCACGTGAAAAGCGCTCTGTGGCTGTCCATCCCTGGCCTCTCTCCAGGGCACTACTCTATACCACAGAAGAAGTTCAGTGCCTTATTTAATTGTTAAATTTGGGAAGAATGAACTGAACGTGCTCACCAACACTATTTAACTGGAAGACTAAGTCTATTTAATTCTGGAGTTCAGCTAACGGACTTGTTTTGCCCTTGTACTCGGCTATGTCCTCCCACCTAGTCCATATCAGAAATAAAAGCATAACTTTGATCTCCCATTGGCCTTTGTGTTTTATCTTGTATCTCAATTTGTTCAGAACCCCAGTGAGGAAAAAAGGTAGTATTGCTGGACCCTTCAAAAATCCCAACAAGTTATTCAAAAACATTTCATTCACATCCATTGTGTAGGATACTGAAGATATGACAATGAATAAAACACTGTCCTGCCACAAGTAAAGAGCTCCCTGTTGCATAGAACAATTTTTAGGATTGTGTTAGACCACAAAAATAACAATCATCAAATGAGACTCCAATGTCTGGAATTACACACGACATATGCTTTGATCCCACCAGTACCGGACACAAAGACACTGAAGTTACAAGCTTTATACCTAATGGACAGATAAGTCGCATGTTCATACTAATCAGCCTGTGGCATCTCTATACGTAGTGTGAATTTAAAACCTTACTTGTCATGATAAACGTCCATTTCTTTGGTGACCAGGATCAAAGGTATAGTCACAATCAACTTTAATTCATAGATCACAATTACATCTGATGTAATTTAAGACTTCAAAACGATCTGGGAAAATGGCGATAAGCAAAGAAGCAAATACTAATTTTAAAAATGTGTGTCTCAGCACAGGTCCACAGGCTTTCATCTGAGTCTCTTTAGTTTAGAAATAGCTCTGGTGGACTGGGTTATCTTGTCTCCAGTTAACAGCAGATCATCAGAAGGGGCAAATTGGAAATGGGAGTGGTAGCGACTAGAGCATGCTAGAGACACAGATACCTCGATAGCAGTACAAACAGGAAACCCAGCAGACACAAGAACTCCATTGGACTATAAACTCTGTGAGGGCAGGGGTCGTGCTTATTGTTTGACACTATACTCCCAGCACCTGGCTCAGTGCTGGCACATGATAAAATGTTCAGTAAACGACAAAAGCTAACATTTAAATCTATATTTTTGTAACAAAAAATAGTTCTATAAACCTCAACAGATTCTGAGGGCAAGTCCACATAAATAAAAAACATTGATGTTCTTAATAATGATACCAATTCTGAAAAAAAAAAAGTTAATTATGTTTAGAATGGTCATTTATAAAGACCAAAAAAATAAAAAGGATAATATCCAAACTGGCAATAATAAAAAGAATGTTGATAAGCTTCAGTTTTCTGAAATATTAACTTATGAGAAACATTTTATTCCCTAATTACACTGCATAAATGAATTGTCAATATAAAATTTTGGGGATATAAATTAATCCTCAGGCAAAACTATAATTTTTAAAAGGATTAACTTATTTGAAATGCTATATAAATACTAATGAGAAGTAATAATACACTGAGAGGATATAGCAATCCTGTATTCAGGACTTACAAAGTAAATACAGCTAAACATAACTGTATCTCAAAATAGGTAGGAAAAACTCACACGCTCAGTTCACTATAAACAGCATTCTGAAGTTTCTTCTCCCAACCTGTTTAAAAAAAATAAAATATATAAACATTATATATTATAATAATATGTATATAATAATATATAATAATGTATATTCCAAAATAAATATACATTACAATTAAATTGATCTAAAACTGTATGTTATATTCATTTTTGAAAGAACTTTATCAACTGTCAATTGCTGTGTAAAGTGTTATTAAGGAATTAGTTCCTATACATTCACTCTACGCCTTGGCAAACACTGAGTCGCCAAGCTGTCAACATATTATTTTAGTAAAACTATTGCACATTCTCTCAAAATGGAAGAAAAATTTCTTTCTACTGTTAGGTGCTCAATGAATGCACAAACCTTTAGCTATTGTACTACCAGCGCTAAGAGGAATCTTCCAAGGGAAAGGCAAGAAACAGCCAGGCACTTGACAAACACAGATCACAAGTAATTAGTTACAGTTAACTAGTCAGTTAACTCCTGAACCACAGAAGCAGATTAGCATAAGGTACCACCAGTCAGACAGGTTAGATAGGCTGCTTAGTACTTGAACTTTTCTGGGTAAGAAAGCCACTAAACAACTCAGTTTCCATGCGCAAAGGCTAGACTAGGGAACCTCTTTTCTTGCTCTAAAAAGAAGTAGGATTTTCCTTTTTTCTTTGAAAGGGTAGAAAAGAGGAGAGAAAATAAATGTAGAAGGAAAAAATCCCCCACAAATAAAAAGTAAGAGACAAGTTGCTTAACTAGGGCGATTCTTTATACATTCAGGATTTTTTTTAATCAGGAAGGTAACAATATTGAAAACTGATTAATGTCCAGCAAACCCCAAAAAACAATAAAATACTTCAAAAGCCAAAAAAATTTGATTAATGTCAGTCATTTCACCCCGTGCTCCTGAATTTTTGCAGCATTTTATTGATATGTCTGAAAGTTCTAATTCTTCCCAAATAGAAACTTATTCAGCCACTGTTTCACAACTTTGAGTAAGTAATTGGATGGCTGGGGATAAAATATTCCATTCAAGTAAAATATTTCCTTATTTTGCAGTAAAATTTTAGAAAAAAAGCAACTTACAAACCTGATGTTTTAAAGAATTCCTTAATATCTTCTTTTAGTGATTCAAGTTTAATCTCAGGTCTCTGAAGACTGGCCTAATTTTAGAAAGCAGAAGAAGAAAAAAAAAGACAGAGGTCAAAAGTAAGTCATTTGGGTTGATATTTCATGCTAATGAAAATTTGAAAAGGAGTGTCCAAATGTGCACACTATTTAAAAACTCCCCGTTGAGATCAGAGCACCTTAGAATTAACTGGACCAGCTCACAAGAGAGGCTTTTTCACCTACTCTTAATGTAGATGATCTGTGATAATACACTGTAGTCTAAATATAAAAACTCGCAGCTTATAAATATTTAACGTCATGTAGGGTTTTTATCTTTATGAATACTTAACATCTATTTTTTTCTGGTAGGAAAAATACTCAGATTTCATAAATTCATTCTCTTACTATTATATCCAACATGCACACAGCATCTACACCTAACGACCAGAAACCCAGCTGCAGCCCTAAAATGGAGCTGTGAATAGTGTCTTCCTGGTGGGATTACTGCTCACTATGAACCTGCATTTGTCGTGCATATTTATGGAAAATATATAAAAGTATTTCACAAATGCTTAGTAGCGTCTTTCATCTTCAGGTGCAGGCTTTCTACTCTACTGGCTTTTCATACTCTAATTTTACCAAAAATAATAATTTCTCCAACTTATAATGGCTTCAGTTACTTTCAACATGTTGCTCTTTCATCACCTACAAAGTCGGACAATTAAGCTCACGAACTCATCCTAGAAAAAGTGCTACATCCCTCATTGCTGAATATCACTACAGTCACCTCAAAGTACTCCCCTTGGGAAGCTATGCACTGACACCAGCACCTAGTCTACCCTTCAAAGCGATTTTGGAATTCTTTTTCTGGAATGGCCATTGGAGCTGTCGTCGGATTACCCTTGATGTCCCAAATGTCTTCAAAATGTCTTCCTTTCAATATTTCCTTTATCTTCAGGTAAAGGAAGAAAATATTGGGGGCCAGATAAGGTGAGTAGGGAGGGTGTTCCAATACAGTTATATGTTTACTAGCTAAAAACCCCCTCACAGACAGTGCCGTGTGAGCTGGTGCATTGTCGTGATGCAAGAGCCATGAATTGTTTGCGGATAGTTCAGGTCGTCTAACCTTTTCATGCAGCCTTTTCAGCACTTCCAAATAGAAAACTTGGTTAACTGTTTGTTCAGTTGGTACAAATTTATAATGAATAATCCCTCTGATTTAAAAAAAAAAAGGTTAGCAACATAATTGCAACATGTTTGCAAACTTAATTGTCTGACCTGGACAATTCTATGAAGATTCTAGACAGATTCTAGAAGGCTATTTCAACAGCAGGCATTTCTGTTAGGGTATCTTATAAGCATGTCATACCTAAGAAATCAAAAATTGATCTTATCTTCGACTCACTACCTTGTGCTTTCTCGTCTCTTTTTTAATCTCCATCCATGTAATTACCATTCACCAGATCTTCCAAGTCAGAAGCTTCAGTTATTCTCAGTGCCACTCTAACTCGTCTAGGATTCAACCCATTCCTGGGAAGATGGCACTGGTGGCAGTGAATTTTTGTGTTTTTTTTTAATCTCCTTGATTTCCACATAAAAACAGACCAAGCAACAAGGTAGAAAAACCAAAACCCCCAGGAAAACACGTACAACAAAACTTGATAAGATATCCTCCACAAACCTAAAATACCAGCGGTTGGGGACAAACGAGTATCATATCGCAAGACCTATATGATATCAGCATCTGTGCAGGAAGAAGCAGAAGGAAGCAGTGAGATAGCTAATGAATGTAAAAATGGGAACTCCAAAGTAGCCAACAAGAATTCACTGGAATATACGATAAGCCAGTATTAGGACAGGAGCTGACACTGGGAGGGGTTCTGTCTAATCCAGTATAGCAGATGAGGTCTGCAGAGACTGGAGCTGCCTAACACATATGAATTCTTAAAACTGACCCACCAGGGCACCCTTTCCACACAAGGCCAAATGAGAAAATTTGAAGATGATAGGGAACCAACTTATTGTCTTGGAAAGTGGTAAATAAAGGAAAAGTCATTTATCCTTCCTTTCTTTTAGGAATTGTACCACTGGGTAACCAAATAATAGATAAGGGGAAATGTCTCTTTATAAAAGTATTCCAGCTAATAACTAAAACAGATATAATTAAAATATCACCATTTTGCAACCCCTAACAAATTACTAATTCTGGGCATGGAGCAGAAGCAGCTCTTAACCTTGCAAAAGCCAAGCAGACATCACGTGCTTCTCAGTGAAAGAACACCACCGCCAATGGTGTGGCCTCCTGAGTCAGCTCAGGCCTCAGCCTCTGGGTCCAGCTGTCAATTTACAATTCACACAGAGGACAGAGGGGCGTGTTAAGCTTCACCGTGAGTGTGCAATCAGAAAAATCTAGAATGTGAGAAACTCTAAACATCATATGGTTCAGCTGTTCAGCTGATAAATTATAAGGAAAAAGAAGAAAAGGAGAGAAAAACCTGTAGATTTTAAAGGACTTTAAAAAGCATATCAAAAATACCTTTAACTGACAAGATTAAGAGTGTCTAGGGCTATATATTTGGTTAATAGAACAATCAAGAAATTCCAAAAAGTGATTACTAAAATCAGGTTGTGATTGGGATGCAGCAAATGGAGGGTTTTGTGGGGTGCTGGCAAAGTTGCACTTTTTTACCAGGGTGAATACAAGGTCATTCATCTTATAATAATTCATTATAGATTTGTTTTGTATAGCTTCTGTTTGTGTTTTATTTTACAATAAAAAGGGTCAAAAACAAAAAAAGGAAAATATGCCCCAATCTATTCCTTCTCTCCATTCTGAAGTCCCATACTTAAGTCCTCAGCTTTCATCATTTCTCATTTGGATCACTGCAACAGCTGCTGAGCTGGACATCGTGTCGCCTTATTTAAATTGCAACTTCCCCTTATTCTATTGTTTCTTCTTTCCTAGCATTTATTACCCCCTAACATACTGGATGATCAGTTTATTTACTATGCTTATTGGTATATTGTCTATCTTGTTACACTGTAAGTGGTAAGCTCCACTAGGCAGATATCTTTGTCTATTCATTCACTGTTGTATCCTAAGTGCCTAGAATAGTTTCTTTACAGTAGGTGCTCAATAAATGCTTATTAAATAAATGAACCAATTTCTCCCTTTTCCAATCCACCCTCCAGCATTTTCTTCCTAAACATAAGTTTGTCCTGGCTATGGGTCTCCACAGCATACACGAGAAGTCTAAACTTTTTAAGAAGGCGGGCATATTTGACCCTTCACAATGTAAACCAACTTATCTCTCCAAATTCATCAGCTCCTTTTCCACCAAGCTAACAGCATCCTCTCTTTTCTTACACCTCCTCCCTATGCATACCCTACTGTCTAGTCCCAGTGAACCATATTCACTGATTCCCCAACTGCCAAATCTTTGAAGAGTTCCAGGGTTTTTTCAGGTTGTTTCCTCAGATGCAAGGGCACCCTCACCACCCTAACAAAGACCTTCCAGTTCCCCTCACATATCACCTCCTTTCCTGACTCCCCCCTCCGTGCCTGCAAAGACAGTACACTCTGTTCCTCCATGACAGCACTTAGCAGCTCACCTGTTTGTCTTTCTGACAGTTAAGTTCAAAGGCAAGGATGATGTCTTCTTCATTTCTGCATCCCCAATATTAGCTTGTCATTAACTGTTGCTTAACAAAATTATATTGACCAAACCATGCTATATCCTTTTTGAGAAATCCACCCCAAATAATCAAGGAACTTTATAAAAAATATTTTTAACCAAAGAGACTACTTTCCAGTCTGTTATTCCTAGGATTTGAAAAGCTGCAAAACCCTGCTCATTATTCAAAAGTACCATGGCAAAAGGAAATAGGTTTTCTTTTACTAAGCCTGCATTTGGAAATGACTCCTAGGCAGTGCAATTTAAAGAACTTCAAGAGAGAAATTGGTTATTCCTCTTAAACATTTTCAATGCTTCAAGGTTGCTATACTCCTAGATATACTTTTTTATATCAAAAGTAAACCATATTCATTAATCATCTCAGCTAATTACAAAAAACTTGAGAAATCTGAAAATCAAAAGCAGGACAACATCGTAAGGCATAGCAGTTCTCAAACATGCTTTAGGGTCCTAAATCTTTTTTCAGATGAAATCTGAGCCCTATTAGGAATCCTACTATATAAAACACATTGAAAGTGACATTGCTAGACAATGAGAACAGTAAGTAATTTCTCATGGACTAAGGTCTGATTAACATTAAAAAGGTACAACTTTATTCTGATAAATCTCAATATACAATTTATTTTTTGCATTTTGGTTTGGTTACTCAATATAAAGAAAAATCCTGATTCACAGAGATAAGTGTTTGCATTTTTTTTTAAAGATTTTATTGGGGAATTGGGGAAGGGGAACAGACAAATTGCTGTCCTTTTGTTCTTCAGTCTAGTTGTGGAGGACGTTGCTTCACTGGCCCATGTTGGTATTACCATTGTGCTCTTCCCGAGTAAGGCAGATTGGTCGACAGCCATTGGATGGCCGCTCACGGCGGCTCACACCAGCTGCTGGCCGCTCACGCTGGCTGTCAGCCATTCACGGTAGCTCACGACAGCCTACGCCATCGCCAGCGACTCACAGCAGCCCAGCTCCAGGTTAAGCTGTTGTTCACCATCTTAGCTGTAGAGGGCGCAGCGTCACTGGCCCATGTGGGATCTGAACCAGCAGCCCTGCTGCTCAGAGCTCGTGCTCCCAAGCCAACTCTTAACCAACGAGCCACTCAGCTAGCCCAAGTGTTTGCATTTTTAATAGCCTTCCTAGCAATCTCAACACACTCCCCAATTAAACTGCTGTGGGAAATTGAAAGACAAGTAATTGAAAATTTTTATTTTAAAGACAAATCATTAAAATTATTTATCATAAATACAAAATTCAGACAAAGAGTAAGAGGGTAAAGGGGGTCAAATATATGGTGATGGAACTGACTGGGTGGTGAATACACAATGCAATACACATGTATAGATGATGTATTATAGAAATGTACA